AAGAGCGATTTTAGCGTGAAATATCAACGCAGTGTGGATTGTTACGGGTGGAATAAGATTATAGTAGCCAGCCACGGTGGAGGCCAAAGGTGAGCCCTCGCGCCCATGTTATTCCCCGGCTATGCCCGCCCACGCCCACCTCAGTGACTCCACGCCCGCTGACGCCCACGTCCTCGTCAGCGACTCTACGCCTATAATGAGAAGTCAGCTGAGCCACGCCCATTCACAGGTAGGTTAGGAGTGCCTTCAATTAACTTTGATTAAGATAATGACCTGCCCGAAACGCTGCGCGTACTAGTGGCTTTACAAGATTGTAAATACTATGCTATGTATTCTCTCAAACCCAATGTACCTTCTTGTATATAAATAAATAAATAAATAATTTCATGTGTACGTTTTCTAGTTATAGGCTACTTTTTTCTCCTGTACTTCAAAACTGCAGAAGAATTCTTAGCCTACTCTTTCCTTGATGGAAATTCCACTTGTGCCTAAAGTTCTTTGAAGTGATCTTGACAGAGGCGAATTTAGTTATTTAGTATATTTTTCATGGTATAATTAAAAATACATGAAAGTGCGTTAAATGCCCGAAGCGCTACGCGTACTAGTGGCTTTATGAATAGTATATACTAGCTCTTATCTAGAAATCCAATATTCTGTTTGTAGCTCATTTTGTATGTATGCACTTTTACTTGAATAAACATTATTATTATTATTATTATAAATATTTGTATTTAAATCATTGAGAAAAACTTACCGCATGCTAATTTGTCTTCATTCTTTTACACTGGTAAAAACTAAAAAAAACTGCCCATAGAAATAAACATACTGTAGTTGTATGAATAAGTATGACAATGTTAACTTAGTTTCTTTTTTTGCATACAATTCATGTAATGAAGAAAGAACTTGAAGATCTAAATACAAAAAAAAATAATGGTCTTTGTTAATGTAGCCTAGGTCTACCGTGCAAGTCTCAAACTGTTTGCTAGTGTGTTTCTGTTCCATCAGGTGTTCCATCAGGTGTTTCTGTTCCATCAAACAGAAACATTTTGTATAGGGAAGGTGTTTTTTTCCATTAAACAGAAACATTTTGTATTGGGAAGGTGTTTTTGTTCCATTAAACAGATACATTTTGTATTGGGAAGGTGTTTTTGTTCCATTAAACATAAACATTTTGTATAAGGAAGGTGTTTCTGTTCCATCAAACAGAAACATTTTGTATAAGGTGTTTCTGTCCCATCAAACAGAAACATTTTTGTATAAGGTGTTTCTGTTCCATCAAACAGAAACATTTTTGTATAAGGTGTTTCTGTTCCATCAAACAGAAACATTTTGTATGAGGTGTTTCTGTTCCATCAAACAGAAACATTTTGTATATGGAAGGTGTTTCTGTTCCATTAAACAGAAACATTTTGTATAAAGTGTTTCTGTTCCATCAAACAGAAACATTTTGTATATGGAAGGTGTTTCTGTTCCAACAAACAGAAACATTTTGCTAGAAGCTACCTGTTCTTTGTTGAAGAGCGTTTTCCTGTTACTATCCTTCTCAGACCTTTTTTTGTTTATTGTTTAGTTCTTTTTTTTTTAGCTCAGTTAATGAGATCTGAAATCTTCAGTGGGCGTCTCCGGGGTGTCAGTGTCTAATTGTTCACAGCTTCTCTATCTTTTAAGGAATTTCTGACATGTCTATTGTTTATCCCTGGCTTGTCTTCGTCTCACACTGTGTTGGGACGGAGAGAAGGGATACGTACCCTCTTGAAGTGACATTATTATTATTAACATCTTTATTGACAAAATTAATTACAATTTTGCCTAATCTGAGGATTTTGATAAAGTCTTATTAAAGTGAGGATAATGCTGGTATTCACTGTTACGCAGGACAGAGGGTCATACATAAGACAATAGGTCTAAACTGTAGGCGGAAGTAAACATATATCATGGTTACAATCAATGTTTTAAGGTATGGATATGTGAAAACAACTTTCTATTGTGCACTGCCACACAAGGGTTCATAAGTGATGCAGCTTAGAAGTAATATAAATAAAAAATTTTCTTCATGTGACAGTGTTATCCCTTCCATGAAGCATCATCCCCCATTTTGCTTTCACTGGGATTTTACTGTCTTATGTAGCTTTACGATAGCTTATGCCGTAAACATAATCACAACTTTCTTAATGAGGTGGTTCATAGATTCACTTTGGTACTTTGTGGCCATTAGCAATTTAGTTGGCATATCTTTATTTTTAACGAGTGGCTGGCTGGTTATGGGTGTTAGGGTGCGTTGTCTTTGGAATGGCTGTGTCATGTATTTCTCGTGCACTTGCTGTGATGTCTTCATTTTCCTTGGAGGCCGAAGGTGACCCTCTCTGCCCAGGCCCACCCCCAGTGACTTCACGCCCCTTGACGCCCACGTCAACGACTCAACACCTGTAATGAGAAGCCAGGTGTGATCACTTGATTGTTTCAAGCGTAGGTTAGACATATGTGAATGAATTTGGATGTAAATAAATAGGAGCTGCCTCATATGAGCTAATAGGTCTTCCGCTGTTTCATTTTTTTATGTTTTTAACATATTGCTGCGTACAACAGTTTTCTGTGGACGTGCTATGGTGATTGGAGACCTGCTGGATTATATCCAGGTGTTTCTGCCGTGTAGCGGCTCTCGAGAAGTACAGTTTAACAGCTGGGTTCTGTTGCCTTTACAGTTACGTGGAAGCTTGATGTTGCATTGGTGCTAAACTCCACGATAAAATATTTTTGGGATTCATGAATTCCACGACACCTTGCATGCCACAAGTTCCGTGGTCGCCAGCTTGGCCAGATTCCGTAACGGATCGTACCGTACAGTGTTGAGAATGTGAGAGTACCACGCTCAGCGAAATTGTAGATCGCGGCGCGCGAACCGTATCAGTCATGCTATGGGTTAAGGCGTGATGCCGAGCTTAGCGCTGTCTGCTATGTTTAGCAGTGTTTGCTAAGTTCATTCAGCATGGGTTCGCTGCGTTTGGTAAGCTTAGGCGTGAATGATGAGTTTTCCCAATGCGTGTGTGCCACGTTTTCATGTGTAAATGTAGCAGTGTGTGTTGAGTCGTATTGGCATTGTTTAGGTTTAAGGAATTTGTACTAGCCACAAGAAAATATATATATATATAGATGAAGGTGAAAGTCTAGTAATAAAGCGGCTAGAGACATTTCAACATCCAGAAGTGAAGCAGCAATATCATCGCAGATAATTACGCAGTAAATACAATCTAAAAAAAAAAAAAAAAAAGATACATTAGCTGACAGCCAGCTTGCTCGCCTTGACCTTTAAGAATACGTTACTGCGTGTCGCTCCGCATCGTGAAATAGAACGGAAACGTTCATTATTGCTCAATGGTCGGTTGTGTTTTCATATAAAAAATAATTATCAAAAGATTTGAAGGTTGAGGCAGAAGCCAGGTTTAGGGGTTGCCATTGGGGGGAGTTCTGGGATTAGGGAGGGGAGGGGAGGGGAGAGGGGGGGGGGGAGGAAGGGAAGTAGGCAGGATTGAAAGGGTGGGAAATACTGTTGCCTAGTGCTGGTGACTTCCCAAGGGAGGGAGGTTATGGTGGGGAGACAATCAGTGTGGCGCGTGTTCCTATTGCTACTTCCATGTTGCTCCCTCACCCCCCCCCCTCCACACACACACACACACACACACACACACACACACACACACACACACACACACACACACACACACACACACACACACACACACACACACACACACACACACACACACACACACACACACACACACACACACACACACACACACACACACACACACACACACACACACACACACACACGCGCGCGCGCGCGGTGGTGGAGGCCAAGACCGTCAGTAGTTTCAAAGCGTTATATGACAAAGAGTGCTGGAAGACGGGACACCACGAGCGTAGCTCTCATCCTGTAACTACACTTAGGTAATTACACTCTCTCTCTCTCCTCTCTCTCTCTCTCTCTCTCTCTCTCTCTCCTCTCTCTCTCTCTCTCTCTCTCTCTCTCTCTCTCTCTCTCTCTCTTCTCTCTCTCT